GAATAGGAGATAATGTTTTCAAATCATATATCTGATAAAAGATTAATGTCCAGAATGTATAGAGAACTCCTACAAGTCAACAATAACAACAAAAACAACCCAGTTCAAAATGGGCAAAGGACTTAAGTAGACTTTTTTCCAAAGAAAACACACAAATGGCCACTAAGCACATGAAAAGATGGTCAACATCACTAACCATTAGGAAAAGGCAAATCAAAACCACAATGAGATACTACTTCACACCCATTAGGATGGCTACTATCATAAAAGCAAGGGTTAGTGAAGATGTGGAGAACTGGAATTCTTGTGCAGTGCTGATGGGAATGTAATAAAATAGTGCAGCTGCTATGGAAAACAGTATGGTGGTTCCTCAAAAAAATTACAAACAGAATTGCTGTATAGTCCAGCAATTGTTTCTGGGTATACATGTAAAAGAATTGAAAGCAGGGTCTCAAAGAGATGTTTGTACACCTATAGCATACAATAGTAGCATCATTCATAATAGCTAAAACACAGAACCCACCCAAGTAGCCACTGGTGAGTAAATGGATAAACAACATGTAGCATATCCATACAATGGAATATTATTTCACCTTAGAACAGAAGGAAATTCTGACATATACTACAACATCTGTTGAGGACATGATGCTAAGTGAAATAAGCCAGCCACAAAAGAAAAAGCCTGTGTATTCTACTCATATGAAGTACTTAGAGTAGTCAAATTCACAAAGACAGAAAGTAGGATGGTGGTGGCCAGGGACTGGGGGAAGGAAGGAATGGGGTGTTAGTGTTTAATTGGTAGAGTTTTAGTTTTTCAAGATGAAAAGACCTTTGTGGATGGATGGTGTTGATGTTAGCACAACAATGTGAATGTACTTAATGCCTCTGAACCATACAATTAAAAATGGTAAATTTTATGTTATGTGTATTTTACACAGTTCTTTTTGAAACATCAAGGGCCAAGCTAATGGGAGACGAAAAAAGAGTTGGAGCCCTGCAAACATAGGTGAAAATGGACTTTCGTGAATCGAGTTATATTGAAGCAACTTGGATTTGCTTGTTATGAGGAATCATTTTAGGAAGCCCTTGATTGATCTGTTTTTGTTCATCAGCATTTGCATCAGTCAGCCTTGCTTGGGCACCTCTCCATGATGATTCACGTCACTTTCTTTTCCCTTGATGTCTAAATGCTGATGGTTCCCGAAGAACCTCTTTTTAGGCTCCCTCGTCTACTTGTACTTAACAGCATCAGCCTCCTGTCTTCACATCACTTTGTGGTGTAAGGTTTCCAGAAACTAACATCTCACACCTGACCTTGCTGCCAGGATGCGTCTTGAACTGCAGCTGTCTGCTAGACATCCCTCCAGCATCTCAAACTCAGTTTGGCCCAAACTGGACTCATCACTTTTTCTTGCTCTGCTGAATTTCTGGTTTCTGTGGAAGGCATAGAACACTTAGTTTCCAAGGCATAAAAACATACAACACTTGGGAAACACCCTTTCCTCTCTCTGTCTTCCAGATGAGCTCAGCTGTCACCGGTGTTGCATTTTCCCTCTGTGACTATCAAATTTTTGAAAAATAGAGATGGGGTCTTGCTCTGTTGCCCAGGCTGGTCTAAAACTCCTGGGCTCAAGCAATCCTCCCACCTCAGCCTCCCAAAGCGCTGGGATTACAGGTGTGAGCCACCACATCTGTCTGTAACCACCACATGTACAGGTGCCCTGCCTATGTCTGGGTCAGCCCTACACTCCCTCTTGAGTGGACAGCCACAATTGCCTGCCCGTCTCTTCACCTCCAGTCTCTCCACATGGGCTTGCTGCTATGAACAGCCAAGGGAAAGCTGGGGAGAGGCAGGTCCTGTTCCCTCTACTAAGGAATCAGACCTCTGGATAGGGCTCACCCTGCAGGACAGCAGGACATGACACAGATCATGAAGTCCCAAGTGGCTTCTGGCTGAGAAATAATAGCCCAAGGAGGAAAGGCTGGTTAAGTGGATGGGATGAGGCTGCTAGACTGAGTCTTAAAGTCAGAGGAGCAGTTGCCAAGCCACCAATGGAGGGTGGGGCAGCAAGTCCAGGTCCTAGTGGAGGCAGTTGGCAAGAGCTACACAGGGGCCAGGTCTAGAGTCTGGTGGGGTGGGGCTCAGGACCAGGGATAGCAGGGCTCCATGGGCAGAAGTCCTGCACTCTGCCTGGGCTGACCAGTGCAAGCAGGGTAGCACTTGAACTCAGGGGGTTCACTGTCTCCCCTAGATTCAGGGTAGTGGCAGCCCTAGGAATTCCAGCTCTGGCCCTTCACTTGTGTGGGCCCTCAGTTTGCAATATGCCTCCTCCCCACAACTTCCACACTTCCAAATCCCACTTAGCCTCAACGCCTAGCTCAGAGCCACTTTGCACCTGAAGCTGCCACTCATTCTGCTGAGCTTGGATGTTCTTTCTTGGACCTCGATAGCCCTTTACTTCACCTCCGTAACTGTACTTCCGTTTTCTACCTTGAACTATCATTACTCAGTGCCATTGTACTAGACTGAAAGCTTTCTGTGGGCAAGTCGTTCGACAATGAATAGAACACATGGATGCCTGTGTTAGTGTTTCTGAATCCATCGTTCAGTAGCTGTCAGCCTCCACAGGCCTGTTCACATTCACTGTGGTCTTCCCAGGTGCTGCTAACTCAGTATTTCCAGTTCTTCTTTCCCTGGGGAACTCGAACCTCTTATGTTTTGTGAGACACTATCAGCAGTTCTGGCAATGGACTGTGAAGAAAAGTGATGTGTTACTAGAGCATTTAGGCCAGTAGGAGACCCTTCCAAGGACTCTTTTCCCTCATGGGTAGCAACTAGCAGTGTTTGAGATTTCAGTTACTCTGTCCTCCTGAGTCCCCCTGAATAAATACGATGAGAAAAGCTCCTAGCTGACCTGTGATAGATGAGCAAAGCTCCTAACTGACCTGTGATGGGCGCCTATCATGGATGAGAAATAGGCCTTTGCTGTTTTCAGCTACTGCAGGTTGTAATTGCAGCATAGCCCAGCCCATACTAACAGACACAATGACCCCTTTGGTTTATCAGCTCTAGATGTGACCAGCACATTGCCTCATCCTTCTGGCTGCTGGGTGACCTGATGGGAAGCCACTGACAAGGGGAGGCTGCGTCTTCAGGCAGGGGAGTGCTGCTCTCAGCAGTTCAGCTCACTGGGCCTCTCATGGTGGAGCACCCCTTATTTAGATGCAGACGTGCAGGAATGGATGGTCCCTTCCACTCCCCAATCTACAGACTGCTCTCTAAATTAATTAAAAGCTGTGGGCGAGCAGAGAGATATTCTATTATATTAGAATGTTCTTTTTTTTGTTTGTTTGTTTGTTTTTGAGGTTGCAATAGTATTTTCCCATGGCTTTGCCAAATTGTGTTTTACAATGGTTAGCAGAATTCCTCTGCTGGTGGGTGACAGCATCGTACTTCCCAGATGTGAGTGTGTGGCCACTTCCCTAGGGGAGCTTCAGCATCTGCAGGGGCTGCTTATTGAGCTGAACAGCTGAGGGAACAGCGGAGCCCTGTGTGCCAAATGATCTCCGAGCCACAAGCCTGACAAAACACAGGTGGATTCCAGCCTGATGGGGTACACAGGTATTCCTCGGCCAGAACAAAGAACAAACAAGCCCTTCTGCTCTACCTCTGTTAGAAGGGAAGTGGTTATCTATGTGAAGCAAAGATGGAAAAGAAAAGCTTTGCTATGTCCTGTGCGTGTGCTGACTGCTAAACCCCAGGAACATAAAATGACAAGAGAAATGGGCAAGAGACAGAGATTTAATTGAATAAAAACTCCAGGCTGTGACAGGGGTGGGAAGACACGAAGCAGTAATTAACAACATAATATTTTAAATGACGATGCAATTAATTAACGTCCTGGGTAAGTGCAGAGGGGGAGGAGGGCATCTTTCAGCCCAGAAACACTGCTAAATAAAGGAGAAGGGAACTTTCCATATTTTTTTTAAAAAGCTATGTGCAAATGGCCCTTGTTATCACAACTTTTTCAAAACTCACAGCAACAACCCGAGAGGTTTCTCAGGCCAGAGAAAGCCAACAAATGTATCAACTTTGTATTTCATTTTTTTCTCCTCTGTGAGGGAAGAGATACTGGGCTAGATAATGAAGTTGGCAGATGTTCAGGTCTCATTCATGATTCGGGTTGAAGACTAGTCTACCTTGAGGGTACTGGGGGTGAGGCTGCAGGAGCTAAAAGCCTCCCTGGGGTGGGCTCCCAGGCCTGTAGGAATTGACCCAGACTGCCAGAGCAGCAGCGGTTGCAGTTGGCCAGGGTGGTGTGGGGTCTGGCTAGAATGTATTCAGAAGATGATTTTCTGAAACCATTGGGATGTTCACTCATGGGAGATAGCTGCTTGTATATAAGAGGAATGTCTCAGACGAGCCATACTATTGCAATTCACATTGATCACACTCCCTTCTCCAAGAGGTTAGAATGGGTTATCCTCACCTGCCTAAGGGTTTAATGATGACAGCTGGACATGCATTTTGAGTTCACTTCCAGAAGGGCCTTCTCACACTAATTTCTGGACTCCTTATGACCCAGGAAACTCAGTTGTCCCTTTGTAATTGCAAGGTCTACAGCATCTGTTCACTGATGGAAACGACTATCTTGATGGGGTCAGTCTAGAGTCAGAATCACAATGAAGTTTGTCGCCTGCTAGGAATCTTGTCATGACCTTGGGTTTTTTTCTCACTCTCAAGAGAACACCCAAATGCAGGACTGCCGGACTAGGAAGGCCTGTCAATCACAAGATATCTGGGGAGAAAAGTCATCTTTACACATGAGTCCCTAGCCTAAGGTTCAGTACAGGGTGGAGTTTAGATTTATCTACATTTACTTTTCTAAGCAGAAAACTCCTTTTGCCACAATATCCTGTTAACTCATGCCCAACCTGGTCATTTTTAGGGCTAGAAGACACTATGCAGAGTTCTATCAGCAGAGAAATCTGACAACTTGGTTTAAAGTGAGGGATGCTTTATTGGTCGCTGCTCCTCTACCATGTAACGTATATAAAGAATAAGACACGGATGTGTGAACAGATTTTCTGTTCTTGATTTTCCACTGTTAAAAGAAGGGGTTCTTCAGCAGACTTGCTTCTTGCAAGTAGTACACACAGCTCTGGAAACTGGCATTGTGCTGCCACAAGTCAACGTAGAAACTCACCTCCACGCGCTTACTGGGGTTGCACAAACTGAGATTGAGCAAATCAGCCTGGTTTTAGGGGTTGGTGCGAAGAACACTATTAACTCAACAGAAATGTGCTATTACAACGCAGAATAGTTCAAACCATTTTTTTTTCCTAAATTGAGTTTGGCCTAAGGTAGAGATCTAAAGGAAACAAGAAACCCTCACAACCACTGAAACAAACAACACTGAAGTACTTAGTAATTTATAGAACTAAAGTTTAAGATGAATATTGTCCCAGAGCCAAAGGGGCTGAAATAGGCTTACGCTCACTCAATTTCAATCAAAAAGATACTCTTCATGGAAAGATGGACTCAAACTGCTACTTGGATTTCAAAACTCCCCATCTGGAAAAGAACATTTAATCTAGGTTATTCTTTAATCTGTTTAGGCATTTTAAACAGCGACTTGATACCTCATGGAATTATAAAGCTATGTATAATGCAGAAATCATTCCAGAACGTATGTGTCTCTCCTACTTTACAAGGAAGGTTATTTCTGAGAACAAAGATCCTGTTTTCAAACAAATAGGATCACTAACTGTGGCGCATCAGAAAACATATGGCGTGTTTAGTTTCGGCGGAATCATTCCTAAAGAAAGTGATTAAGTTCCCATGAAGAATCAAGACGTTTTCAATTCATGGGGAAAACCAGCAAGGAATCCTGCACTTCAGCTGAAGGCTCACAAGCACCTCAGAGGTCTTGTGATTTCAACATGGGACTGATGGTCCCAACGTGGTTTCTGTCCCTCCAGCGAAGAGCTTCAAAGACTAGTAATTCGCCTCACAAAGGCTCTTCCATGGATTCACCTCATTCCTGCAGGGCACTGAAAATGCAACCGCAGTCCCACTGAGCGTCCTCCTTTTCCAGGGTTGTGGAGCTTGCTGGAGACACAGCATTTCAGAAACTCAATCCACCTCTTTCCAAAAAACTGTACATTGTATTTTCTAGAACCAACTTCTGGGCTTTCCACCCTTTGTCTTTTCCTACTCTTTTTTTTTTTTTTTTTTTCTTAACAGGAGACCCATAAAAAGTGAAAAACCACAAAAACATCACCTTGGGAGACAGAAAAGACTAAGACAGATCTGACCACACGACAAGTGTCTCAGCCTTGACCTACACAGGAGCAGGTAAGACTCTGGAGTGACGGACGGCTGCCACTGCTGCCGCCACTGCGACTGCACAACACTGTTTAGACGGTTGAACAAGTGCAAAGAGAACATTGCTGAGTCCCATTTGTGTTATTTGGCCGCACAACTCATGGTGTCGGAGGTGGCTTCGGCGATGGGCACGAGCTCTCACTGTCGAAGCTAGCAGCTCGGCCCTGCCACTGTAAAGAGGAGAAAAGTCTGGTTATTAATTGCTAAAGAAATTTACATTTCAACTTGCAAAACTGAACTGGCCCAATGCACTGAATTCACCTTTCCCAGCTTCTCATAAGCTTTCTTGAATTTTGCTGTCAGCCATGCAAAAACATAAGGGAAACAGCTTAGAGCTTCTGGTTTGGAATACCTGATTTTCAAAAAGACCTACTGCAGAGATAATTAAAGCTTTCTTAACTGTGTGTGTGTGTGTGTGTGTGTGTGTGTGTGTGTGTGTGTGTGTGAATGAGGTGCTCTGACTGGACCATTTCTGTGCGCTTCAGCCATTTTTCACACCGAAAATCATATTATGTTAGCAGCGAAAGAGGCAGTGTGCAGAATATGTCCTTACTGCCAAGAACCGATGGTCATGCATTATTAGCAATTTGTCTGGGAGCTGATAGTACAGCTAAAAATCTGATACTGCTTTAGCTTTGAGCTGTCTCCTTTGGTCTTTATTCTTCCTATGGGCATTTGCACCTGACTTGTGGAGAGGTAGAGGCATGAGCAGACCCTTCTGGACTTCTGTAACCCCTTTCTCCTCCCCAGCTCTCCTAGCTCAAAGACTGTCTTCTATCAGCCAGACTCTAACCCTTCTGTGAAAGGGGTGATGTAATGAGGCGTAATGGAGTGAAGGAGAGGGCTGAGGCTGGCTGGACTTGAGCCATTCGATCCTTCTTTAACCAGTCATTGTTGCAGCAGTCATAACCGCTGCAATGTTTACTGAGCAAGGATCTGACCCCATGAATACTCTGGACCTGCCTGGGGGCTGTATATTAATAACTTCAAAGTGAGTCAGTGTCCACTGCTCACCCATCCTTGGAGTGGGTTGCAGAGACCCAGTACTCTCCTGGGTGTCTGCAGGACAGAGCTCCAGAGATAAGAGGTAGGTAGGTGGTCAAGATGGCCTTCCTGACCTGGAAGTGCAGCCCCCCTTCTGCTTCTCATGAGTGTTGAGGGTCTCCACTGTGGAGTAACGGGGCTGAGCAGAAGCTGCAACTATGCATCTGTGCACACATGGAGGTTTGGGGTCAGGGGAGGATGTGATTCTCCCTCAATACAGTCTTTTCTAGAAGGGCCGAGCCACCTGAGGAACAGATCACTTTCTATCCAGCATCACCTATGGAGTAGATGGGAAACCCACGAAGTTGAGGAAGGATTCAGACCTACTAAACTACCTTAATGCTTTCAGTTCTAAGGAAAGCTTCTGTTACCATTCTCTGGGCTCGGTTCTTCATGGGCTTCTTAGGACTCCCTGTGCAGGCCAACTGAAGATCTTTATGACTAACCAAGGGCCAGACAATCAGGTACCGATGACTACCATTATGTGACCTAGACCTAAGCAATCTTAGCATGTCAGCGCTGGAGGCAGTCTTGGAAGCTGATCCAGTCTAACCTTGTTCTTGCAAATAAGAAAACGAAGACAGAGAAGTCAAGACACAGCTGGCTAGGGGCAGAGCCAGGACCCGAAACCAGGTCTCCTAACACCCAACTAAGTGTTGTTTCCACTCCATCCTGCTGCTATCTCAGCATTTGGCCACACTAGGGGAAGAAGGAGACAAAGGGTAATAAGCAACCTAACGTCTTTGGGTCCACACCAGGTACTTACTCCTAACTCCAGGTGGCAGTCTCTCTGCTTGCAGCATCCACTTGAATGAAATCACAACCGAGGGTTTCCCTGGTGAAATATTTTAGATAAATAAATGCCTGGTTGTTGAGCCCACTGTGGCCTCTCACTCAAGTGTTTCTTAACCAGAAGGTGACAACAGATGATTACTAATGCTCTCATTTAACAGACCTTCATTTTAGGAGTTCTACTTTTCTGTTACAACCTTTACTGTTGGTGAAAGGTACATTATAATCACTGGCTTCTTCCCTGGGAAAGCATGCCACTTACACAACCTGACTGATAGGCCAGGTCAGAGGAGAAAACATAAAAGGGCTTCATAGAGTGTCTTTCTTCCTTTATGTAGCAGCCCAAAGAGTAGTCGCAGGGAGCAGAACTGTTTATCCAGAACAAATGAAGAAGGAACACTGGCTCCCCTGCTAGTCCGAGTTTTCCTACAAAGATAAACAAAGGGAGGAGACGGGGTTCGTGGACAACGGGAAGGCGAATGGTTCCAGGAGGCTTACAGTGGCTCTGAAATAGCAGCATACCTGTCCCCAGCACACAGGCAGATTGTTATTTCAGAAGGCCTGTGTCCCAGTAAGGTCTTTTTTTGCTCTGAAATGGGTCACGTTCCAATGGAGATTTAACATCTCTGGCAGATGATCTCAACCTGGCCCTCCATAATCAAATGCCTTGGTGAAGAGTGCTGGTCAGCCCTGTGTGTGGTAACAATGATGACACGTGGCTCTGGGCTGAGAGGGAAGGGGGCGGGTGCTGCAGCTGGGAAAGGCCACTTGTGATGGCTCAATGAATTTTTATTCATGAAAGAATCCCAGCAGGGAAAGACACCTTTTCAGTTAACTTGTTCCCCTCAGCCTTATTTTGAGCCCCAAACAAGTGAGCAAGTATGATGCCCTCTGTTCTCATTAATAAAAAAGAAACGATCACAGCACTTGAAAATCCCTTAAGAAAGGTGCAAGATAAATACAGAACGCTTTGCAGATATGATGCCATTTATCTTCCCGGGAGCTGGAGGAGATTTCTTTATGATTATACAAATGGGAGATACAAGTTTCAGGAGCAAAGCTCTTGCTCAACATCCAGAACAGGAATGAAAAGAAGGCAGGATGTGAGCTCTGAGGATGAGCGGGAGAATTGCCTCCAAGCACAATGCATCGCACCAGTGGACACAAGGTGCTTACTTAATGTCAGCCCTGTGGGGGTTTGCATGCATTTTAATAAAGATATTTCAAATGTGGGCGCTAAATGTGTCGGCAACAATTTCAAATAAATGCGAACTATTGAAATCTCAGGTTGCCGAGACGAGTGTCATTTTCAGCTTCTTGATACAGAGAATGATCAGTTGAGCAGAAAATGGTGGGATCATGCATGGGGGAGGGGGCATTCCTGGGAGCTTGGCCTGCGAGGTCAAGCAAAAAGTAAACCCAAAGCATATCAATTTATTCTCTTTTTGTTTTCCATATACTGTTACTTTCCCTTTACTGTCTCATCAAATATTCATTTTCAAGGGCTTGATTCTACTTTATCTTTCTTTTGTAGTCTGAACCAGTGAGTCGGAGTTCTCAAAGAAATAGGGACTTGGAATCAATTATTTGGCTTAATTAGGTTGTATTCATCATGAAGGAGAGTGATTCTGGAGCCAAGTCCTAGCTCCTCCATGGTACTCAACACCCCACCCCCAGCTGTAGCCGCTGCTCTGTCACTTTCCATTTTCCACAGGCAGGCTCAGCCTGGTAACAGGGATGGGTTATTGCAGACGCAAGATTAGAAAGGCAGTCACAGTACAAGATGGGGGCTCATGGGCCCAGCCATAGTTTAGGGTCAGAGTTTCCTAGAAAAGCAAGATGGGAAGGGCTTATCCCCTCATTTTACCAAGGAACCGCAAGACCAGAGTGGGGCAGTGAGTTTTCTAAGGCCCTACAGCCGACCAGAGACCTCTTAGCTCTCATTCCATGCCCTCCCCCTAAGCCACCCTAAACAGTTTAGTAGACTTGTTCTATTCTTAAATATCTCCAAAGGATGATAAGCGGGGCAGGAGTGATGTGGTGGATGGGGCTGTCATGACCTCTGCCTGCTTTGAACCAGCACAGCCTTCAGTGAGGTGCTGGATGCTGTCTGCAGGTTGTCTAGCGTTCTGCCCAGCAACGCCTCCTGTATTGTGGGTTCCTCACCCACACTCTGCAGAAAGGGCTTTCTGGAAAAGAGGGGCAGGGGCTCCTCTGGGGGAGCTGAGAGCCGAGGAACTGGCCTCACTCATTAAAGGTCCACAGCTGTGGGAAAATCAAGTCGCCCACAAGATAGAAATATAAGGTCTCAACTGCCAGAAACTTGGCTTCTTTATACCCCTTGATGCTGCCTCAAAGGTCACAGGGCAGGAGCTGCACAGAGCACACGCCACCTGTCTGGGGAGGTGAATCAATTAGCCTGCCCCCTCACCAACCGTGGTCCCTATCACCCGTGTTTCCACGGGTACCAATCCCCTTGGCTCTCAGGCTCTCCTGAGACACCTCACCCTGCCAGAAACAGCTGGAAATGGGCTTGTCCTCCATGACAGGGCAGGGAGCCGGTGGGTTCTCTGGGTTTGCCGACCTGACTTCTTTGCATCATAGAGTGTGGGGAGGGGATGACTCTGTTTTGAAGGTGACTCCGATTTTAAGCTGAGGGGCCATGCAGTGAAAAGGATAAAGCCTTATTTTGTATTAGTAGAACTTCCAATTTATACAGCTCTCTAGACTTGTTAGGTTTGAAGCCTGTTAAGATGACAGAATATTCACCCAGCTTTCTAGGATACAGACCAAGGCACGAGATACTGTGAGTGAGGTTTAAGCCTTGTTTGGTCACCCACACTTCCAATCCATTTGAGAAAAAGCAGGCCTGGGGACCACCAGGGTGGTAGAATACAGGATCCTAAGTCAGTGGGATTCAGTGGAGGGTGGAGAAGTTTGCAGATATCACTCAAAGGGATATTTTCTTTGCAGTTGAGGGAGAAGTGACAGGGTCAAGATTATACAGTAAGTCAGGAGGGGCCAAGATTGGAGCCCAAGTCTCGGGACTCCCAGCCCAGTGCTCTCTCCATTACGTCTCTGTTAGAACCCAACGCAACCCAGCTCCACAGCTTTAGCCAGAAAGCCTGACACCTTGAGGTCATGCTCCCTTCCCCAACAAGGGCGAGAACCAACATTCATAAGAGGAGGAATCTGCTCTTCGGCATCTCCATCCAAGCAGTGAAAACTGCCAAGTGACTGCCTCGCTTGAGCCTCAGGGAACTTACTGTTCTGACAGGGGTAGAATGTCTTGCCAAGCTGTGATCTCACCCGCTTGGGGCTTTCTCCTAAAGGACCAACTTGGCCAAGGTCTTTGTGAAAGCATTTCAGGCCTGGCACAGTGGTCTGCTGGGAAGTCTTCTTCAAAGTTCTTGCTTTCCATTAAGAACTCAGTGTTGCTTTCAAAATGCCCAACACCAGAGGCTTTGTGTCGGTGGCTTCCACCTTTCTCCTCTGTTTCCTTTCGGCCTATTACACACTGGGTAAGAAGCCTGTGGCCCCCATGCCCACCTTTCCACAAAAGGCTGAAGGTGTCACTGCAGCCGACTGCCATTCTCCAGCCCACACTGCCATGCAGCAAACATGCCAAGGGCCAGGCGACCTCACCCACCTCTTTGAAGGATTTCTTTACCTCCACCAAGGAGTGCCAGTGTGCGATGGGCTTCCGGGGGTATGCCAGCATCTCGTTCCAGTGGTCCCTACCCAGGCCTTCGGCATTGATCCCTACACGGCAGACTCCTATGATCTCATTGTGGCCCACTCTGAGGGAGAAACAAAAGTCCCAGCATTGGCTACCAGACATGCCCTCAGATAAGGAGGTCCAGCGCAGGTGGGCGGGGGAGGGGCCATGGTAGGACTCCGCCCAATGGGTCTAACTTAGAACCCTGAGCTCTGGAAACAGATGCTTGGCAGGGCTTCTGGGTGTCAGTGGCAGTGAAGCCTTTGCCTAGTCCCCTTCAGTGGACAGTGGACACAGGCAGATAAGCAAAGGTTATAAACCTGTTTGGAATCTCAAGAAATGGTGGGCAGATAGCCTGAGTTTGGGAGGTGAGAGAGTCTAAGTCTCTTCACTTATTTGACCCCGCCAACACATTACAACCTCACTGAGACATCAGTATTTGCAAATAAATCGACAGTCTCTGAGCACCATTTCTCCAAAACCCCCGTGGCTGGAATGTGATTTATTCACTAGGTAAGAACATCAATTATCCCTTAAGTATGTTTGTCAATACTATGCCTGAGAACTTGGGCTAAAAGTCCTGTATTGAGGCTTTATTGCATGGTTTCTTTCTTCTTTAGCTAAAGTGACAACTGGAGAGAAGGAGTTATAGGGGATGGAGTAGTTGAGAAATGTTTCTGAGCCAGCCTAGATGGGAAAAGCCGGAGGTGTGGAAGAGAAGAAAAATATCTGAGAGGGGGGAGATCTGACTGGATGGATATGCTGGTTCCAGATTAGGGAAGGCTGTGAGAGTCCAAGGGAAAAGCCTGGATCACAGGAGCCACTGATGGTTCTTGAGAAGGGCGGGTCCAGGAAGAAAGCTGTCATTTAGGAAGATGTGTCCCTAGTATGTTGACTGAATTGGGGCAGGAATCGTTGGAGGCAGGGGTCAGCTAGGAGGCTGCACAGCCATCCCAGGGTGACAGTAGTAGCAACAGCAGAAATAGAGAGGATAGAGGGGCATTTCAAAGGCCAGATAATAGGATTGGTGCCAGATGGAAGAATGGGAATAGCAAGGGGTGAATTCAGGGAAACTGATGGATAGAGCTGCCCCTGATGGAAATAGGCCAGTTGGGAAAAGAACTTTGAACCTTTGCTAAGGGAGAATCCATGCTCTTCCTCAAACTCCTGTACCCTTCTTGGGTACAGATAGAGCTGAGGCCTGAACCCCGAAGCTGAGCCCTGAATCACAAGGTCTAAGGTCAAGGAGCCCTGTGCTGGTGCTGGAGTGGGAGTGAGGGGTGGAATCACATCCTTCTGGGACGCCCACCTACCGATCATAGTCCATGACTGAGATGAGCAGGCTGACTTGATCCATGTTTTCCGGGGGAATGTCAAAGATGATGGCCTCATTGTAGACAGGATTGAGTGTGTTTTTCTTTATGGTTGTTTTCTTCTTCTTCAGCCTCCGCCCATCACAAAGCAGGGACACTTTGACATAGGGATCTGTGCCAATGGGGACAGAGGAAAGGGAATGGAGTGTGTTAACAGACGTCTGCAAACATCATTTGCAGCAAAGGGACTGAAGCCCTAGACCTACTGCTGCTCATCAGATGGTATCAGTGGGTTGTTAAAATAATTAAACCACCTTGTATTTATGTAGCACACCTGTCTCTGAGGACGCTCTGTGCTTAATAAATGCAGAGTCTTTAGCTACCTCAGTATTCTTGGGAGAGCGCCTAATGGACTTTTACTAATGGGGAAGCTGGCCCCAAATCAGACACGGCACCTGCCGACGGGTATGCAGTTCACAGCCCTAAATCTCAGCTCGTCAATCACTGGCTGACTCAAAAGGGTGATGAGGCTGAACAATGACACTATTTCTTTCACCTATGAGGAGTGCTTTTCCTTGAGTGACTTTTTTGTTTTTTCAGAATCATAAACCAAAGGATAAAGGTTTTGGGGTGGGGTAAAAATAGGACTCAACAACGGCCAAGGAGACACAATGTGTCAGAGTGAAATGAACAGCAACAATCATGATGCTGTTCATGTCCTCCCCACCTGAGAACATAATTTTGGGTCCCATTGTCTCAATAATCTCATTTCCATTTGGCATCTAGAAGGCGGGAAGTGGCCCTGCTCTCTGCTTCCCTGGAAGCCGTTTCCTGCCCACTTCTGGGCAGTAGAGGAGGAGGGAGCTGTGGCCCGGGGAGACTCAGGGCAGCTGGTTGACATTTCCTTTCTCAGTGGGATCTTGGATTCTCTCCATCCTGCAAAGAGATGCTTTTATTGAACTTCCATGTGCCTCCCATCTTTTTGTTTTCTTTAGTTTTCTGAATGGGTATTTCATGGCCATCTTTCTACCCTGAAATTTTCTACTCACCCAAGTGAAGTGATACCTATTGTATCTCATAGCGCAGGTGTCTCGGTCACCATCATAATTGTTATTTATGCTGCACAGCTCAGGAAATGGGAGGGTGGCTCACAGGTAATAATAGCTTTCGAGACACTGATGTGCTGAGACACCTTGTTGCCCAGAAGCCAGGGCTCCTGTGAATCTGTCAGGAGGTGCCAGCCAAGCAGCTGCTTCCCAGCTCTGTGATTCATAGGCATGTGGTTCTATCTCCTGGACACTGAGCACCCACTAGGGCCCTGTACTCCCTGGCATCATTCAGATGAGGCACACATCCATGGTGGAAACGAGGAAGAATTGTGACACCTGATCAGAAACCCCAAGCCTGAAAGGCATTTCTATAGACACTTAAATGAGCTGCCAACTAATTCATGTGGCAGCAGTAGCTATGCCTTAACTGTGGGGACGTGAGGTTGGGTTGATGGGGAGACCATGAGGTGTTTCATCAACCTGCTTCTCTAACTATACATTTGAAAGGATCCTCTCTCAGGGATTTTCAGTAAAAAGGAAGTGAGAGTTTTGAGAACTGGCATGAGGCTCTGCTTTCCACAGATTCCATTCTCTGTGGATATGCCCCAGGACATTATTCAGGTTCAGGTAGACAGATGGGCAGAGCTAGCCCCAAGATCTGTCTTTAACACAGCAGCTTGCAAGATCCATAAGGATGTATCTTGCCTTGCAAAGTGGCTCCAGACTTGAGGTTGCTCAGGTGCTGCCTCATTCCCCTGCTCTACCTGTTTCCATACATTCCCACATCAGAGCAGATTTCCATATCGTGAGGCTTGGAAAAATAGAGGCAGAGCCACTTGTCCCATGAGCCACTGAGCAAATGCCTTAGCAAACTTCCCCAACTCTGTTCACCCCTACAAGGCATATGCATTTTTTTAAGAGACAGGGTCTTGCTGTTTTGCCCAGTCTGGTCTTGAACTCCTGGGCTCAAGTGATTCTTCCACCTAAGCCTCCTGAGTAGCTGGGATTACAGGCATGAGCCACTGTGCCTGGCTGATATGAAATTTATAAAATTCAGCATACATATTTCCCTTGCAGGAACCCACACTTTCACCAGCATCCATGAAGCCAAGCAGACAGATGACCGTTCCCTAGGCTTTTCTGGGGCAAAAATCCGTGGTTTCTAGTGGAACGCTGGCCCCAGATGATCTTGGAGGTCCTTTCCTCTCTAACAGCCTATGATGCTCTATGCAGCTGAGGGAGGGGACACAAAGACCAGCAGTGTATTTCAGCCTCATTGTCATGGGAGCCATCAAAATTCAGCATTTGGAATGCACTCACCACCCCTTTGTAGCATACTGGTCCTTATTATTATTTTGTGCTATTTTTAGTGTCATGGTTCTAGCAGATAGGCTTTGAGAATTGATTCAGGGCTAGTTTAGATCATGGAGAACAGGAAGATCCTGGGTTTTAGACGTCAATGCCACACAATTCAAGAATAGGCAATTAATAAGCTCCATTCACTCCCCAGCTTAGTTCAACATCAAATAAGTCTGGGCTGAGGGCAACCTCAAACTCATCCTGAAGAACACGAGATCTAGTTCGAGAGGCTCCTAGCCAGTACACCCCCACTGCTTCACCCTTGGACCAGGTTCCTCATGCTGTAAATTCAACCATCCATTCTTTCGATATCTATTTATTGAATGCTTACTGTGTTTTATCCACTGTTCCAGATACTTGCTTACATCAATGAACAAAATAGACAGAAACCTGTAATGAAAAGAGGACCCCTGGATCTTCAGAATCAAGCCAAGGTTTAATAACAGGTTCCAAACCCAGGTCAAAAAGAGGGGCAATTGTGAAAGGTAGGTTAGAAATTAGCATGAAAAAAATCTCACACCCCAAACTCTCTGATTCAGAGCAGCTTTTGTGATGACCTCAGCAGCTTCACCATAGGCTTTCTCTCCAGCACATCAATTTAATTACACCAGAGAAGAGAGTGTGGGGACTTAGGCAGCAAAATCCTATTTCCCTCAGCAGCCTTGAGAGTCTTCAGTGAATTTTCTTCCCTGTTATGCACTTATTTTGGTATTAAAATGAAATCTACATTGGCTGTACTTTAGGGGAAGCTGACTTGCTGCTGCCTAAGCTTTTCCCAGGCCAGAAGAGGTCCGTTAATCTTTTCCCCACGTCCTGATGTGTGTGGGAAGCTCTGAGGGACTCAGAGCTGCAACAAACACTTGTTACTCTAGGGTTTCCTGACCACCTTGTCCTGAAACTTCAGTTTTCAAGGCCTGATACCTCTTCTTCTTCCAGCTGCACCAGGTTACACCTGAGCCCAGGTGTTTCTGGCTCAGCCATCACTTCTTTCCAGCAACTGATTATACCCAAGACTCAAGCTACTCCTCTGTTATTTCCAAACTCAAATACCTTCTTCCACAACTTAGGGGTTTTCCAGCAAATAAATAAAGAATACAAAGCAAATATGAGGAAAACTCTTTAATATATTCCCAGCTAAGTTCAGAAGCACTTCCTGAGTGGTTTTACGTTGGTAATCTGAATCATCGAGAGTCTCTTGAGCAGGAGGGCAGGGGATCTAGAGAAACAAACTGAGCTTTTTTCCACATTTGCAATTCTGAGTGCAGCCCAGACTGAGAGGCTTCACCCCATTTCACTCCTCAGAGCAGTCTGAGCTGCTGAGGGAAGGAGGCTCCCAAGACTCAAGTTACTCCTCTGTTATTTCCAAACTCAAATACCTCCTTCCACAACTTGCAGAATTGTAGGGGAAGACTCAAACCTCTGACACTACGTCCATCCTGCAGGTTGCTGTGCAGCCGCCCCCAAACAAGCATTTCCTCTGTCACTAGAATAGGACTATATTTCTATGTTCCTGCTGTACCTAGCAGCTTTCTTGGTGCTGAGGCTGAGGCCAGGAGGCCTGCAGTAAAGCCTCAGATACAAATGCATTTTGCTTTTCAGTCGATTTGTTTCCTTGGCTCAGTGCACAGAATTGCTGCCATAAGCCTGCACAGACCGGCAAACATTTACACGCTCAAACTTGACATAACCCTTCCGGAAGTCCTGGGGCCTCATATAAATAAGAAAACTTATCCTTAAGTTTTAAATCCTGTATATTTAATTCTTATTATCTCCCTCTCCTAAGAGAAAGAATGACAGCAATAGATGATATCTACTGAGTGCTTATATGTGTAAGACACCATTCTGAACATTTACATGAATTAACTCATTTCTCCTGAAAGCAACCCATATAAGATATTATTATTCCCACTTTTCAGACTAGAAAACCAAAGCATTTACACAGCAAAGAAGTGGCAGAACTGGAGTTCGAATCCAGGCAGTTTGCGTCCAGAGCTGGTGCTTCTATTCTAAGAATGCTGACAATTCTTTCCCCTTCTCCCTGAATATCCTTCCAAATCCTAATGTTTGGGCTGCCGGCAGGCCACTCAGGTTAAGAGAAGTACCTGAATAGCCTGTGATGTCCATGGCCTTGAGGTTCCGACACTTAATCACCGTGAGGGTGAGCCTGCCCGCTGTGGGCAGGTAGCAAAGGGAGAACATGATCTCTCCCAAGTCCACGCTTTCCTGCAAAGAAGCAGACAAGAGGGAAGATGAGGGGCTTGCAGACCACGGGCCTCATGTCCTGTGCAGCATCTGTTGGGGCTCTCTGGGGTCAGGAGGAGGCTCTTGGAGACACAGTGCTCTGTTTTTAAGACTAAGGGACTGACGTCCTTGCTGCGAATAACCGGGTATAAAAGGCAATGGAAACAATATTGCCTCTTCAGTACAATTTGCCCCTTCCAACATTCCCTCTCAATGTCAACCACATTCTGACCCTGGTCCTTGCCGTTCTGCCTTTGGCCTGACTTGCTCTCCATATGCCCCTTGGCTTCAGCCTCCAACCACCAGCCCCTTTGTGGCCTCTTCCTGTTCTCCTCCAGCTCACCATTCTCAGTCACTGACCCCCTTGACTTCCTGCCCATCCAGGCATGTGGTCATGACAGTGTCCTGGACGAGACACATGCTCTAGCCTTCAGGTGTCCCCTCTCCCAGCAGGTCCATGATTCTTTTCTGCTTCTGCCCCTCAGTGCAGTAATTCTTTGTCAATCACAGCCAACCAAGGAGACAAACACCTGGCACCCCATCTGATGGCAAGTGTTTGATGCTAGGCCTCAGGTCCACTTTCTGTTTTCTCCTTAAATGTAGTCATCCTTTAAAAATAAACCCAGCTACAGAGCACACGCTCTGCTGCCTCTCCTGCCCCCAGAATCATCATGGCCAGGGATTCCTGGGAGTTTCTGAGAGAATAGGAAAACCTCAAAGACAGTAAGCACACCCATGTGTGGCATTAAACAGTGCCTTGCCAGGTTGCTTCCTCCATTTGATGAAGGAGGGCGCTGTCATGGTGAAGCCTCCTCCCGCAGGTTTGAGGAGGAGCTCCAAGATACGGAGATGTTTTCTCTCACAGGGCTCTCAGAGTCAGGTTTGAGGAGGAAGAGATCAGGGTTTGGGGTGATTTCAGATGAGGCCATCCATCCATCCATCCATCCACCCACCCACCCACCCACACATCCACCCACCCATCCACCCTCCACCCACCCATCCACCCATCCATCCACCCATCCATCCATCCACTCATCCACCCATCCATCCATCCATCCATCCATCCATCCATCCATCCATCCATCCAGTAATTCAGTCAGTCAACAAATATTTATTGGTCACCTGCTATGTGCTAAGTGTTGATCTGAGTGCTAAGGATAGAGGAGAGAACAAAACAGACAAAAATCCCTGCCTTCCTGGAACTTAAAAAATACATTTCAACTTAAAAAAATAATTTCAACTTTTATTTTAGATTCAGATTCAGAGGGTACATGTACAGGTTTGTAACATGGGTATACTGCGTGATGCTGAGGTTTGGGGTACAGATGATCCTGCCACCCAGGTAGTGAGCATAGCACCCAACAGTTAGTTTTTCAAACCTTGCCCCTCCATCCCTCCCGACTCTAGTAGTCCCCAGTGTCTATTGTTGTCATCTTTACGAGTGGAGCTTACATTTTATTAGGGCAAAGGACAATAAAAGAGGTAAGTACATAAGTTAGTCAAAAGTATCAAGGAGAACAAAAGGCAGAGAAGGGGAATATAAAATGACCAGCAGGAGGCTATAGTTGTTGAATTTTTAGCCAGAGAAGGCCTCTCTAAGGAGGTAATGACTTCTGGGAAAGAGAAGAGTTGAGGGTGACACCAGGGTTTTGGTCCATTCTCCTTGCAAAAAGCCACCCTCTCATGGAGACTCCGACAGCCTGGTCCCCCCTGGAGAATAAGCCAAGGCCCTGTCTCCCCGTATCTCCAGAGCCTGCGCTCACCACACTCTCCTCTGGGCGGCCCTGACACCGCCCCCCCCGCCCCCGCTTTTCTAGCCCTAGATTTGTCTTTTTGTCCACATCCCCGAAATAAAGTCACCCCCCAAAACCAAATTCTAGGAACAGCAGAAGGTGAATACCCCCAGCTTCCCAGGAAGGGCCTAGCTGGGGCCAGGGCTGGGCACACTGCGGAGACAGCCACCCCTCCTGCACACAGAGCCAGCCATCCCACACCAGCCCCTGTGGAGCGCCTCCATGAAGATCACTTCCAGCTGTGAGGCTCTCAGCAACTCTGTGAGGCAGGCCTGTTGGCATTTTCCCCTCCATTTCACAGACGAAGAACTTGCTCAGGTTTATAAACCTTGCCAGCTGCCTGGACTCGTGACTCTCAGGAGAGTGGTCCTTGCACTCCACTTTTGAGCAATGCCCTTCCAGCTCACCTAGGAAGCTGCTCAAGGGAACCCTCACCCTTCTGCACCTTGGCGTACACTCCATCCACTTGTTCATTTGCATTTCCATTCGCATTTACAGAGTGCCTCCCAGAGGCACCATGCTTTGTGGAGAGTATGCAGTCCCCACTCTCGAAATGCAGCTGGTCTAGTGGGGCGTAACCGGTTAAAAGAAGGTGCTGGAGTCCCCATCTCGCTCAGGTGCATCTCCTGGCTCCCTAGACCCCTAGTCAAAAGAGACACACACAGCAAGTGCCCTGTGCTCTGGCATGGGTCCTGCGGCAGTGGGCAGATCAGCATCACATCTGGCTAAATATTCCATGTCTCACAGAGGCACCGAGGTATAAAGAGAAGCCCCTTTATTTCCCTTAATAACCTCTCAAGCCCCAAGTTACTGAAACCCTTTAGATTCAGTGAGCACAGTACTAGGAACCAACCCATTGCACATGGACTGTGTGCCAGGCCTCTGCTAAGTACTTGGCTAGACTATCTTGGTGAGTCTTACCTCAGCCCTGTGAAGTAGGTGCTCTCTCTCTCATCATCCCTATTGCACACAGGAGAAAATTCATGTTTGGTGAAGTTAAATAACTGGCCCAAGGCTGAGTGACTAATGAGCGCTTTGGTGTGAGATTTTCATATATCAGTGCCACTGCTCAAACACCTTCAGTGGCTCCTCTTGTTTGGCTTCTGGGGTCAAGGCTCATCTTCTTGCACTTGGGGCTTTCAGCAACTGGGCCCTGTCTTACCTCCTCACCTGCTGCTCTCTCCCTTCTCTATGCCAACCCTCCGCTCCACATGGCTGGTATATCTTTGGTCCTTTTTGCCAAAAAGCCTCCCCTTCTCCTCTTGGCTTGGATACTCCTATACCTACATCACGCCCCCACACCACACCCCCATGGACCCTCACCCAGGGTCCAGGCCACAGTGAGCATCTCTCCTCAACACCCCTGCAGGGCTTCCTGTCCTCGAACAGCTCACAGGAGTCACCAAGTCTCCTTTTCCCTGTAGCTGTGTCCCCCAGCATCTAGTGACAAGAGCTCCTTTTGTGACAGGGTCCTTGCCTTGCACCAGCTTGTGCTTCAGCGTGCCCAGATGGACACAAAAGCAGCTACAGAAATGCTCGCAGAAAGGGGCGCTTACATGTTAGTAAAAGAACTCTGGAAGGAGTGGTGCTTCGTGCAGTGTTATGATCGAGTCAGGGCCCTGGGAAGAACTCTGGAAGCTCCTATGGCCCCCCTGAGAGGGAGCGAACAAAAGGTTGCTGTCCCCTTTTCCCCACCACCATGTCCTACAGATGCGGAGTTGCCTGCGCTTTCACAGGCTGTCTCTTTTTGGGGAGTCTGAGTTTATTCGTTATGGACCTGGGAGGCTTGCCTGGGGGTATGAGAGGTCCCTCAGGGTAAATAGCATCGCCCCAGGCTCTATGAACTGCTGTCAAGGATGGCTCCCTCCAGGGGAGCAGTGAACCGCAGACCTCCTGGTTTTTGCAGGACCCCTGCTCTTTCTCACAGGACTGTGGCAGCCGGCGACATGCAAGTGCTGAGTCTGCAGTGTGGTGTGGCCCCTGCACCCAAAAGTGAACTGCACTCTCCATCCATGGGCACAGCCAGGTAAAAGGACTGGCCCAAGATCCCATTATGACCTGGAGGCAGTGAGGAAACCAGGGCCAGAAGACAAAAGCCCTGGTTTTGTCTGGGGAGTGGCCCTGGGGAGTGGCTGGCCCTCACGGTGCCTGGTGGCAAGTTAGCAGCTCTTGGTTCACTGTTCTCCTGCACACACAAGCAGCAGAGGACTGGATTATTTAATAAGGGAAAATAAACAGGTTAATTTTGAGTAAATAAGAGATGACAGCTAAGCAAACAGAGAGGGTCAGCAACTCCTGGTAGTCACTCTCTCTCTCTCTGGAAAGCCAGGCCCCAGCTCAGCCCTCACCAGGTCCTCTCTCTGAACTACCCTCTCTCAGGAGGTTTCAGTCAGATCCCACATGGCTTACCAGCCTTTTATCCTCATTAGAGGTGTTTGAGACTTTGGACTTCAATAAAACCATGGGTGACCAGGGGCTTCAGAACAGCTAGCGCATTATTGCTTTCATCTTCACCTGCTGTCAGGAGAGGCTGCCTTAGGGCCCCTGACTGGTAATGAGCTCTCTGGTGCAGGAGAGGTCACTGCTATCCAGAAAGCAGTAGAAACCAGCATAGCCCTCTAGACTGCTAACCTAGAAGCTGATAGGGTAGATCAGAGCTCAGCAGCAGCTGGCTGAAAGTCTTGGCTAGTGCTTGCAGGAGGTGGACCTGCTGAAGGGAGGGAGCCAGGATGTTGGCTTCTGGAGAAATCTGTCCTTCAGTGCAACCTGTATACCTGATGTTGCTGCCCATAACAGTAGCATTCTCCTTGGCTGCAGTGCCCAGGGTGTCTGGACAGTAAGATTCTTAAAGGCTCAGCTATCTATAGCCCAATACTGCACTCCCTGGTTTCCCAGAGGCCCCTCTGCAACAACTGATTAAAGCACTTCTCTCTCCTTGATGCAGTCACCTAGTCCAGGGCATAGAAAAAGATATTCTATTTGTGGGCTGCCCATGAAAGGGCAGTGAACCATGAATCAGGAGACCTGGACTTTAGACCCTCTGCCCCCAGTTAGCTGTGAGACCTTGAGCAAATCGTTTCCCATCTCTGGTCCTCGGGCTATAAAATGTAGGGGTTGTTCTAGATGAGATGCTCTATCCTCAAGGTCCCTGCCAGCCATGAGAACCCAAGATTCCAACTGGAAAATCTA